GCCTTACCGGTTGCCCCCCCCTCACCTTGCTGGTTACCCCTCTCCAAGACGCTAAGCTGCTATGGGCTGCCTTCACCGCCTCCCGGGCCTCCCGGGGCCCACAGTCCGCCACCTCGGCCAGCAGCTGCCCGGTGGCCGGATCCTGCACCGGGAACCGCGCCGCTCCATCGGCCTGCAGCCAGCGGCCGCCGATGTAAGCCTCGGAGTGGATTAGGCCGGAGCCCGAGCAGCTGGAGAGATACCGCGGGCCCGAGGAGAAGAGGGAGCCGCCTGTGGTCCCCAGCGCACGGAGCCCGAGGCGCCGCAGCATCGTGTCCAAGCAGCGAAAGTGAAGAAATGAAGTGAGAGACTCCAGTGCAATAAACTTCAAAACATGTTAATGTTCACCAGCAACCAAGTCATTCCCTTCACCACTCATTCACTCACTATTAATTTTTGACAATGTTTTCAAGCTACTCTTACGTACCCATGCAGACACAATTTGTGATAAGTTGTAATTGGAAAAACATCAAACTCCAGTTAGTGGCCAAGCAACTAATTGTTACTCTTTCCCAGTAGCAGAATACAAATCCCAGCAGACAGATGCCCATGATAAAACAGGATCTCCAGACTGGCGTCCCTGGATCAGGCAAATACACACACCTTGGTCATTCGTTTGCACCACCCTGTAAGGCCATGTAAGCACGTGGAATCACAAGCCAGCCATCGTTCAACATCAAGAGCTCTCTGCGAAAGGATAAGTTCCAAACCCACTGGCTAAACCCACGTGGAAATTTAAAGTGCTTTCCCCGCCACAGGAAAGAAGTGGAATACAGTGGCACAAAGTGAAAATCAGACCTCGCCAAGGGGCGAGAGATTCCACCAACAAGTTTGTCAACTATTCTGAAACACAAGGTAAACACCTTGGAACACTTTGGTAAGGAGACACTCTCTCCTGTAAAGAAGAGGATGAGAATGGCTGCCTATCCCAACATTGAAGCAGCACTGTAAACGCCATTCAATGCAACTCAAGCAGAGAGCATGCCCATCTCTGGTCCAATCCTACAGGAAAGGGTTGTCGCCCTGACAGAAGGCTGGCAACACTGGCCTCAAATGTCAAACTGACATTCAATGCCAGAGCCAAGATCCAGCCAATGGATCAGGCGCTGATTAGGAACTTAAAAATCATCTCTCGTCGGAAGCTTATCTCTCAAGTTATCAAGGCCATTGACATTATGCAGTATTATTACCTAATTGTTCTGTGTGCGATGTTCACAATGAAGGAGCTGTGGAAAATGGTAGCAGAAGCTACAATTGCAAAGCACTTCCACCATGCTGTGTTCAAACAAGCTACAATTG